ACATGTAGAAAAATACATGCACAGCTGTATATACAAAGGCAGAAATCCTATTATATTTGTCTTGGACTAGATTTTTCCATAATACTGCTACTTATTTAATCTTACTTCTGTAACTTCAGTGTACAAAAAATGTACAGGTATTTTTTTCCTCAAGGAATTTTCTGCCTTTAATGCTTTTTTAACTTAAGAATTATGGTTCTCTTTGAAATGAAAGGTAGTTGTAAGTTTACACAACCTTTGAATTTCTTAATTATGTGACTGGCTGGTATCTGTGTAGCTAACTGGCTTTGAGATTTGTTAGAGTTGTGTTTGGTTTTGATTTTTTCTGATGGATCAATAAAAGATTAGTGATTAAAAATTTAAAAAGTGAAGTTTTCTCTTTGAGACAGTCTGCAGGAGTAGGTGTACCTTCATTTGGGATAGCAACAATATTGCTTATGAAGTTTTCCCAGCTTCCTGGAGAGAAAATAAATTTAGAATTATGCAAGTTTGTATCTCACCAATCAAAAAGGTTCAGTTATATTTCTATATTTTTATAGTTTTATAGTTTTATATTTTTATATATATTTATATATTTATATATAAATTTATATCTATTTATATATTTTTGCATTTGTTCATCCCTAGAAACAGTTTATCTTTAAAATCTGTTCATTGTGGTGTGCTATGGGTTAGGTGCAAAACCAAATCTTTAAAACCAATTCCACTCTTGAGAAGAATCATTGAACAATTTCATGGTTTTTCTTCAGAAAGGGTGTAAGGCAAGCTGAAGAGAAAGCAAGCACTATGCAAGTGATCAAAAGTTCTATTATGAGCAAAGTGCAAATATGGCTTCATGATCAGATATGTAGTTGTCATGGTTGTGGTGGGAAAGCACACTTCCCTCAAGAACCTTCTATTTTCTAAAATGTTTGGTGCTCTATGCCTAAATAGAAATTGTCATGTTGGAAAGAAAAAGAGCACATGGCTGGTACATGACAGATTTACATAGAGAGTCAGTACTTAATCATTGAATTGGCTCAAACTGTAGCAAGTAGTTAATGCCTTTGAAGATCTTAAATATGAATTTATGCTGGTCTGAAAAATGATGAATCTGCATTAGATAGAAAGGCAGCAATGAGAGTTCCCTTCATTGTCACAGATAGATCTTTTTGTTCAGTGTGTTAATTCTAGCAAGGGCTGAAGGGGCTGCATCAAACCTTGTCATGGTGCTGATCTCGGGTCATTACATTCTCCTTGGCACATGGCAAAATAGTGATGCTGGGAGGAGATTGTATGTGCCTTTCCCCCTTCAGCAGGGATCCAGCTCCACAAGAGCAGTTCTGCAAGGAGAGATCTCTGCCCCAGCACCTGGAGACAGTCTAAGGTGTGTGCACTTTGTTAAAGTCCCATCCATGTGGAGAAGGAACAGGGAGCATTTCTGTATCTCTCTTCCTGTTCTCACAGCTACACCAGTGTAGGGGAAAGGTAAAAACAGAAGATGTTATTCCTCACATGAAAAGTCACTGCATACAGCATTAGAATAATTTTTTTGCAATATGTATTTTTATGTGTATATGATTCTGTGTTGCCCTGTTAATCATAATTATTTAATGAGTAATGTTTGTGTCTCTGTACACTTGAAATACATTGATGTTCCTGTAATAGCATTCTTTCTGACTCTGTTCTGACATTGTTAATAAGATGATCACAGGAATTCAGCACTTGATAGAGGAAGGGGGTTCTCATTCAGTAATATATTTGTTAATCAATATTCATAGTGATTGAAATATTAATAGCAAATGGATGATTACTTTTGATTATTGGAGAATAGTTTACAGTTTATCTTACATGCTCTTTGCTTGAAATAGAAGTGAATAAGTGGACTCTGGAAATAAATATATAAAATGCTAAGGAGTAAACATGGGTTTTTTGAGCATTAATAGATATAGGATTCAAGTTAATCTTACAGTTTAGAAGTTCCCTTTATTTTGAGTTTTTCAAAGCAATATATTAGTTAAAATTGTGGATGTAAAAATAGGAATATTGGTCCTATAAGCAAAGTATTTTCAACTCAGCTGTTCTGTGCAGAAAGCATGAACTTATTTTTTAAAGCACTTCTGTGGGATACTGTTGTTGAGCATTTGAGACAGTTGGAATTCTGTTTTTCATATCAAAGTGTTAGCCTTTTATTGTAACCAAAAAGGAAATTAAAATACAGAATATACAGCTGCTTGAAGATGACAGTCAAGACTAATTACAGAATTCAACCAAGGGGTTTTAACTCAGAAATCAGAAAGGTGAGAAAGTTTGAGATCTCAAATTTGGATGTAATGTCCAATGCATTTAGTACTTACCCTAATCCTAAATTTTTTGAAGGAGTTGAGTGATTCTTCCAAATCTTTGGGTAGCATTAATTACAAAGAGTCAGTGTTAAATAGTAGAGAAACCATTTTGGCATAGACTAAGTATATTACCCATGTTTTGTTTTCCTCACCTGAAATGAAAGCAGTTAACCAATTTATCTGAGACATTTTTTGAAAGTGTTTAATATTCTTCAATATCTGCCTATTCTCTGTGTTAGGTGAAATTTGGTATTATGTTTTGTTTTAAATACTAAATGTAAAGACTAATTTTACTCCCATTAAATAGAATTATTTTTGGGCAGTAGTTTGCAAACTATCCATTGTTCACTTGAACAGTACCTAATAAATGAGAAAAGGCTTAAAAAAACCAGCATAGGAATATGCATGTAAAGAATGTATCATAGAAATATAAATGGTCGTTTAAAAATGAATTCATATCATATACTGGATGATACAATATTTTCAGCATGGCTACATAATGTGAGTGGTTTTGTATTAATGATGAAATATGACATGAGCTAATGCTGTTCTTAAGCAGTTCTATATTTTTTATTTGTAAATATATTTTTTAATCAGCTTATGTTCTGCTTTGTATATGTTGTATTCATATCTAATAGCAATAAAACTGGGACTCAAAATAGTTTTGACTGTTAAGCTCCAAAGTAATTTGTTATTTTTTTCCTTATAATTTTCTAATAGTATGTCTCAGTCATTTTCTTCAGGTAAAGCAAAAAAGCAGAATACCTGAATTTACCACTAGCCTTGAAAAAGTGTAATATTCTTTGCCTACTGTATGCAATTACAAGTGTTAAATATGTCAAACAAATTTTAAGCTATGTAAAAGGAACACTTTATAATACAGGATATTGTATTTGGACTTGATTCATAAGCTACTGTCTGTGTACAAACTAGTCTGACACAGCTGCTAAATACTTTGGGGTGAACAAAACCACTCAGCATATCCCTTTAAATACAGATGCTAATACATTTGTTCAGTGCAAGAAGAAAAGAGTTGTTGCTGAAGTAAAATTAGACAATAGAGCCAATTTCATTTTTTATGCATGTGAATGTAGAGTGCTTGAGGTTATTAGTTGAAACTGAGTAACCTTTCCAGGCTTTCATCTCTTTCTTTTCAAATTTGAATATGAAAAGCATATTCAAGTCAGAGACCATCACTTTAATGACATTTGGCAGTCATTTGATTTATTAGATTTTAGAAAAAAAATTCCTTTTAAATATTTCATCATTCTATGCTAATCCCAGTAATATTGCCAGCTGAAGCCATGTACCTGTATTAGTGGAGACAGAATGGTGTGGAATTTTTTCTGTCATCCTAGTAAAATTTCCATGAATCTACTGAATAATAAAACAACCTTATTGAAATATTCAGATTTGGGTTTTTAGTTAAAGTGTCTTAGGATACATAATAAAAGGAAATGTCTTTTGAAAGGAGGGGGTAAAATTACTTCATCAAATATTGAAAGGACTTGACAGCAATGGAAATTGTTCTATATGATGGATATTTTTACAATAGGATACACCTGCTTTTCAGTTTGATTAATCATTTAATTTACTAGGGGAAATGTAAGCTATCTCCATAATAAATTAGAGTACTGATTTACAGTTTGAACACTGAATCTAGAAAGTCAGTCTTCTGAATCTGATTAATACTTCAAGTGATTTAAGTTTAAAATCAAAAATTGTCAAAATATTTCCACATAGGGGAAATATTTTTAATAAAGATATGAACTTGAAAGAAATGAAAGAAGTAAAAAGAATTTTTTTTGACATTTCTGTATTCCAACATGTTGTGTTTGCTCTTTGAAGAAAGTTGTCTTTGAATGCTTACCTACATACTCCACTTTGGAAACCAGAGTGGCTTTTCTTTCTTCAAATTACCTAGGGAAGTACTTGTGACTTTCTGTTGAGTCTGACATTCACACTTAAATATAAAAACATTATTACAATGTATCTGTACACAATACCATAGACCTTGCTGAGTAGTGCGAGACAATTTTGCAAGGAAAGGAAAAATGTAATTTTACTTAAAAGAGAATAAGAAAAGGTCTGATCAAGCACAATAGTGTTTAATCTTTTGACATAATTAATATGAACTCTTAAAGGTATGTTTGATTTAACTAGTCAAGTTCAGTATATGAAGTTGAATTCCATATAAATGCAATTGTCCTTTATATGCCTAACAACTTTGTGACTTGATGGATTTTTATTGAATGGGGTATTGTCTGTAGGAGGCACTAGCTATTCTCTTCCCTTTGAAAAAACTTTGGTACCTAATAAAACTGAAACTGTTTCCAGAAGTTACAGGATCACTTTGCTGTGTGGCTAAAAAGTAATGGCAACTGAAATTAGTGGTTCAGATAGCATTATTACCTAAAGATAATCTTAACTTAATCTTCTTCAGTAGACTATGACTATTGACAAAATATTTTAAGCATCAAGTGTCAATCAGTATCTGTTGCAACAATATTCATAACTGCAAACCAAGGGGTTTAGATTCTTCCCGTGTCTATGTTAAATCAATCCATCAGTGTTAGTTCTACAAACTACCCAGTGGTTCACATGTATGTTAGGTTTGTGTTAACACTTCAAGAAACACAAAATTATTGTTTTGGTTTTTGTTTTGTTTTTAAATAGGAAGTTGAACAATCTGGATTAAAGTTACATCACTTGGTTTTACGAAGTCATGAATTACATCAAATGAAACAATACAGCAGCTGAGTGTAGAATACAAATAAAACAATTTCCCTGCAGAGGACACTGCATTGTCACTTCCAAACCCAACGGGTGGTCAGAGGAGTGACTGTAACTACAAAACTGGTGAGTGGCACCTATCCTTGAGCAGGTGTGTTCCTTTCCTAAAATTCTTATGAAAATGCTTGCAACAAAGCCTATTTGCTATACATTATATATGCATTTATCTCTGTACTGTTGTATTTGTCATTCTTCAGCTCTTTTGGGAAATACCAATGATGATTTTTAAGACCTGAGATCCTGATGCAATTATTAAGTCTAAACTAAAATACAAAAGTAGGCTTGTGTAAGAAATTGAAACTGCAATATATTTAAATATGCTGGTAGCGCATACATTTTAAAATTAGGTTTTATATAACTATTTCTTTTTTTTGAAAGAGCACAAACTAATTTTTTTCCTATTGATACATGATACAGCAAAAGGAAAATGTTCTATCCAACCATGTACAACTGAAATACATTTGAGAAAATATGTCATGGATTTGATCATTGCTTGTGAATACTAAGTGTACCTTTAACAAGAATTTTTTTTAGTGGGAAATCATTCACCTGTATTTAATACTAATAAATTGCTATTTACTTCAGAATACTGAATCCTGCATGTTGCATATGCTAAACTCTAATAAATGAACATCTGTAAGTCAGTCTCAATCTACCATTGTGACTGCAAGGGCATTGATCTTTGAAAGGCCTTGGGAAAGAAAAAGAAACTCACGAAGAAAACAGTTCTGTGAAGTCCTGAATTCACGAGGCTTCCTTTCATTCAGACAAACAGGATTTCTGGCATCATGTGCTAAGTAAGACATTGCATAAAGGAGAACTCTTTTTATAAGCTGGACAATTTCATTTTGTTAGCTTCTGTAGGCACAGATGCTCTAGTTAGGCAGCCATAAATGGAATTTCTTTTTCAAAACCTGTTGAAATAATACCATAACCCAATAAAAGCTTCTTAAGGCTTTTCATTGCTCTTGCTTTTTGAATTTTCATTGCTTTGAATATAATAAACATTCAGAAGTTAAAAAAGTCTTATACAATATTCTGATTCCTGGGTATATTAGTTATGTTGTAAGTATAGTTGTATTTTAAGTATTTACCTGTTTGAACTTCAAAATATTCCAACAAATCAATATTAAAAGGTGGGTTTTGGGCTTAATTGCTTCAGGACTGTATTCTGCAGCATTACACTAATGTGGTTGTTATTTTTAGTGGTTTGCTTAGATAATTGTCTAATTTCTACTCAGATTATCTTTGCATATAGGGTGAAAAACCTAATGAGTCTGCTTTTTGATAATACCAGTTGAGAAGCCAGTAAGATAATAGTAATGAAATCTGCATGTGTGTTTACTATAGCTTTGCTGCATCTCTTATTCATGTCTAATTAGATTTGAGTATGCTGAATATTTGAGGTTAATTGAATATTTTCTTTAATAAAAATGAGATTTGCATGGGTAGAAAGAAATTTACTTTGAGCTTAGAAGGAAACTAATAGTCTTTTAGACTTTTGCATGGAGAAAATCAGAGTAAGTCCATAAGTAATCTAAAAAAATCACTAATTCTTATAATAAATAAAGCATTTTATATTATCTATAACTGGAACAGATTGACTGTTTTAAAGACATCTTAACGGTTACAGAAGGCTTCATGAGATTCATTGCTTTAAAAAATTTGATTTTTTTCCCATACCTTTTGAACATTCTTCATTGTCATTGTTTCGCATGTGAGATAGAGAAAATTAACAGGAGCTTGTTGAAAAACAGTATAGTAGAGTTCCAGTAATCTGGACATAGAAGATCCCATGGGTTTCCATTTTCACAGGTGATTCAAGCATGTAACTTGGCATTAATTGGCTTTTTTCAACTATGACTTTTTCACTGAGAATGGTTAGAAGATAATTTTCTTTCTTCCAGAGTCTTGGAACAAAAACTTGGATGGGGAATTTCAGACAGGAAGTTTAGACAGTTTAGGATCATGCTGCAAACCTCTTGATTGCCCATGACATTGTGTGGTACCTCCTGATGACCACAGTGACTGAGAGCAGCTGTTGTGTTTGGTACCACTGAAAAGAGTTATGAGAATATCTAAGAATGCTTCCAAGCACTACAGGCCCATACATTCAAAGAACAGTGAAACTTGCCAAATTATTCAGTGGTTCTAGAGAACAGACAGCAGAAATAGAAGAAAGTAATATGAAAGCTGGCAAAGGTTTTAGATGAAATTTAATTGGGAAGCTTTCTTTTCTCAAAAACTTTTCTCTCTTAGATAAACATGTGACTAATTGAACAACTTGAAGTACAAGTGGAAGTAGAAAGGGGAGGTGTGGGAAAGATGGGATGTACTTTTTATTAAAAATAAACTTCTGAAGATCCCTGTTCTAAAAGGGGATTCCTCAAATGTTAAGGCTTTGCATCAGGAAACATTGTTATAATTCTGTGTGTTTATTCCTTTTCTACAATAAGCTCAAGACTGTGGAGTATTTTTTTCTTCACTTGATGAAAATCTGCTTCATCATGTAGTTGTTCAGTTGTGTTAGAATGTGACCTATGAAAAAGCTGAGCTATAGCAGAACAGCAATATTTTGAATTACAGAGATTTCTAACAAGGTTCCAAGGTCATTGTAATATTCAGCTTTTAGTACTTTTTAGGACTAACTTTAAAATTATAATTTTAGAGGCTAACTGTCACAAGTTAATTTTGAATTATTCTTGCAATTAATTGGATAGAAAGAAATGTGAAATGTTCCATGCCTTGCAGCAATGTTAATCCTGCTCAGTTCAAGCAGTACTAAGGGGTGCTATGAAAACATGTTATTAATCAGGATCTAAAAATATACTTTCACTCTGGTTAATCATTTTCTCCAGACTTGAATGAAGTTGTGCTGAATGTATTACTTACTAATCTGAATTTTTCCATTGAGTGAAATGAATTTGAACTCTTTAGGTTTGTTAATAATTTGCATTTAAAATTGTTTTAGGTACAATATTAGTAAACTTAGGAAATTCCTTTTAGGATGCTTATGGGAAAGGGAAGGATCTGTTGATGTGGCATTTCCTTTGAAGTTCTCTGGCTGTCCATCTGTCTCCCTGCTGCCTCCCCATCACTTCCTGTGGTGGCCTTAGGAGCACTTGGCCATGAGAGCAGCACATGTGGAAAGTCATCCACATGTCCAAAAGAACAGATGACAATAACAGCTTCTTATAACCTAAGAAAGTAAGAAATTGAGAGTGGAAACCAAGGCTTCAAAGGCAGAATGCCAGTGCCTTGCTTTCAGTTAGTAGAGAAAAAGGTGGCAAATTGCAGATTCCTTTGATTGAATGGCTTAGCAACTCAGCCACTGGAGTGTCTGTTTGTGCTAGTAACCCATTCCTAACAGCTGCCCATGGACGAGCTGGGAACTGCTCTGGGGAAACTGAAAAATCAACAGCTCTGGGAAATGGGTTCCTAGGACTGAGAGAGCTGTGTTCTTCAATAAATCCCTCTACAAGGAATTGAAAATAATTTCTTATGTCCTCATATTGTTGTATTCCAATACTCTCATCCCATAGCAGAGTTGATACTTCCTCTTTATATAAATAAGTTTATTTTGGGTAGCAAAAGACAGTATGAGATATGTTAAAGATTTCTGTCTGCACAGGGGAAGAGGAAATCTTATTTTAAGGTGGAGAGTCAAAAAGAACTGTTGTGAGTACAGTGGCAGAGTAACTATAAAAAAAGTGAATATTAAAAATGTTGGAGTTTAATGACAGACTAATTTGTAGCTCCATCTTCTCCCCTTAAAAGCAGATGAAAACTCTTCTGAAGAGCTATGTTTGACTCTTTGGGGCCTATATTAATTCTAGTTCTGTCCTAGCAAAACCTTTTAGATTTCATCTCTTTATTTAATATTTTTAAATTCCTGTAACACCTTTTCAGTCTTTATAATCTTTCACAGTAGTTTGCTGATATTTGCAGACTGATACCATTTGCAGGCAAGCAGCTATTTTCTCTAATATTAAAATGCCCAAAAACTTCTTAAAGAATTTCTTAAAACCCTGCTTCTCATTCTTCTGTTATGTTTTCCAAACCAAGGCTAACTTTCACTCTAGGTCATATTAATAGTACAAAAATTAAAAGCTGATCCTTGTGTTTGTATTTGAAATTAAAACAATGAAAAGCTTTCAGAGCACTCACTCACACTCCCCAGGCTGTGGATTTTCTCCAGTCCATTGGTCTAGAGGTTTCTTTTATTGAAATATTGTGGCAGGAAAGGAGGATTAAATTACTGAGGCTGTCAAAAAGGACAAGCACTCTGCCATACATTATCATTATCACTGGCTTCCTCAGTGGAAGAAAATACAGTAAATCACTTCAAATACAAAGCAATAAAGACCACTGGCTTTTAAAATCATGAGTGCTATTGCCATTAACAGAAAGTGACAGCTATGTGGCATGCTTAGATGCTGCTTGTATCTTTTTTGACAGTGTGCACATAAACCTGCCAGTGACACACCATTAGATCACATGACCCTTCAAATTTGATTCTAGCATTGTTGCTTTTCCTTAGAAAAAAAGAAAGAAATGTTTATTTTTCTTTGTTCTTTTCCTCATGCTCTTCTAAAAGGTGAAAAACATTTGATACTAATAGTAATTCTGATTTGCTTTGCAGTGATAAATGTGGTTAAGGCAGATAATTGTGCAGAAAGATCTCAGGTCTGCTCTAAAGCTAGATCTGCACGTTGGCAGATAGATGTTAGTGCTGGAAAACTCTGTTATAGGTCTTAGTAAATAATGCTTGTGGTTCACCTCATGGTTTGTCTCTTTTGAGGAGGCTGGACCGAGGAGTTAATACCTAGCTAACTAACTAGAAAAAATTTTGTTTCACCTAGGAATGATAGCTGCATTCTGATGGGACAGTTGCTCTTACTTCTTTCTAGTGTAGGTTCATGTGGCATGGAGTACTGCAATCTCACATAATGCTGGATTAGTGCTGTGGGTTGGGGTTTGGTTTGGGAGTTTGGTTGGTTGGTTGGTTTGTTTTTAACAAATTTGTTCCACAGAAGAGAGGATCTATCACCAGTATTCTATCACTAATGAATCTGAAACGCACATATCTGCCCAGTGTAGTGTAGTACATTCGTTGCTTTCTGAATTCAGAATACTGCTAAGAGTCTAAGAGCTGCAGAAAGTGTTCCTTGGCCCTAGAATTTCCAGAAATAAATAGGTAGATAGATAGGCAGCTATTATGTGAATGCATATGAGAAAGAATATAAATTATTCTTGTCCAATTTTATAATAATAATAAATTTGTTCTCATTCAATTTTTTGATTGTGATAGTATGTACATTACTTATACAGAATGAATGACATAGTTTGATTACATTTTCTCTTGAATGTCAATTGTTAAAATGGAATAATTGCTAATTTCAAGATTCATTTGATTTGTGTAAGAATAGGAAACCTGCTGATTGTATTTGATGTGTTGGAGTTACTTGTAAATCTTTTAAATATGTATTTATTCACAAATCACTGATTCTCTCCACAGTAAGGAGGAGTGATCTCTCTTAATTTCATTTCTAGATCTGAGTTTCATGTCTTGGCCAGAAAACAGGTTTTACTGGAATGGAGCAGGGAACACCATGAAATGATTACTTGTCAGGATGGAAATATCACACCAAAACAATTCTTAGGTTTGGAGATTTAAAAAAAAAACAACTAAAAAATACTTAATAAGCAAGCAGATAACAAATTCCACCATACAGAATAGGAAAGTGGTAAATGGTCTACTAAAATTTGACAATACTGAGGATAAAATACTCTTTTTTTTCCTTTTTTTTTCCCATAAGTGATAAATTAAGCAAAGGGAAATAGCTAGTCAGTGTGCTGTGATTTCTCCTCTAAACACTTGGATATTTTTAATAATTATTGTACAAGCCTAAGGTGAAAGTAAGGTAAGACTACAGCAGTGAGGTTTTTCTCTGAACAGAAGCGTTCATCTTCTACATGTTGCTGCCATGGTAGTGCCACTGTGTTTGTAGGTGGGTTGTTTTCTGCAGTCACTGATGTGTCTGGTTTGGCCCGTGGTGAAATTTCAGTTCTGCTGTGACCAAATAGAAAGACAGGAAGTTCACCAGTAGTCCAGTTCTCCACTTGATCCTAGCAAGAGGACCACCAAGAAAGAAAATTTATGGAAAGATTGTGCCATACACCAAAAGTTTCCAACTCTGTGTGTTTTAAACCTGGCCTAGTTAGATCTTCAACACGTGTTTTCTATCACAAGCCTGACAAACCAGTATCAGAGCTTTTTCAGCTGAAACAGGAACTGAACTAAACTAATGCTTTAAAGCTCAGGAAACCAAATTATCAAGGATATAAATATCATTGAAAATTGCCTGCAGATGGTTTAGCTTGATACTTTATTGGTGTTTGTGCTAGGCAAAATTACAACAGCATAGGCAGTGTATTATGTCTATTAAGTAGTGTATTAATTTATTTTTTTTCCTGTCACAATGAATGTTGCTGGAAATGATACTCACAATAACTGGATCCATATTGGAACATAAATAAATGGGTAAATATCATGGGTTTTTTTGTCTTCTAAAAGAAGAATCACTTGAATGAATAGCTCTTAAAAAAGATATACTATTGTAATATATAAAATTATTGCTAAGTCAAATTTGCAACTATATATATTGCAACTATTTTTTTAGTTGAAACTGAACCAGTTTGACCCTGAAAATAATGCATTTTGCAGCTTTATACACTTTTAGTTTATGCTTACAAATAAATGTTAGTTGGTGTGGAATTTATATAGAAAATACATATTTTTTAGAGTCCTGTTTAGGTTGGAGAAGAGCTTTCAGGTCATCAAGTTCAACTGTTAACCCAGCAATGCACTAATATCTCCAGGGATAGTAACTCCACCAGTTCCCTGAGCAGCCTGTTCTAGGGCTTGACAACTCTTTCAGTGAATAATTTTTTTCTTAATAGCCAGTCTAAAATTATTTGGAGTGGAATTCACTGTTCATGCATATATGATTTCAAAATAATGATTGTTCTCTCTTTTCAATTTCATTTATTAATATGGAATAATTTTAGAAGTTTATTAGAAGTGTTGATTTTGGTTCTACATTTGAATTAATGGCTTTAGTTGCAGAAATGCAAAAATAATCAGTATCCAAAAAAAAAAAAAAAAGAAAAGTATGCTGTTAAATAGAATTATATAAAATATATAAGCATGAGGTCTTAGGACACTAGGAAGACTTAGGAAGACTGAAATCCTTTTTAGGTTACTAATTGTTGCAAACCAGAAAGATGGTTCTTTTCTTTTGACAAACATATTTTCTTTATGTTTTCATAAAGACAGTCATTGTCTCTGTCATTAATGTGGAGATTTTGTCAAAATATTTGATTTCCTTATATCTGTATTGTGTGACATGGGTAGCCTTTTTGTTTTGTTTCTTCTTCTGTAAAATGGGGATTCAAATTCCTTATTAATTTTAGGAAGATATACTTGCTAATATTTGTAAAGCTTTGGAATAAAACCAGAATTATTATTTCAGCATCTGAACCCCATCATTATCTACTTACATGTTCAAACCTTAAAATCAATTAACAGGACACATTTCTGGCCATCCATTTAACTTTTGTAACTGTGTCACAGTTTTGGTTTTTTTTCTTACATTGCTGCCTTTCAGCATTCTAAGAGTGTAGAAATTTCAGTCATGTAGTGAACCTTCTCTGATTCCTCATGCCAGACTGTAGCTGAAGTGCTGGGACCTGGAGGTAAAGTCTGTGCTCTTCTGACAAGTGTCAGGAGAGACATATGTGAAGAATGGAGGAATCCATTCTTCTAACAGTCACCCTGCTGTGATAACAAGAGTGAACAGCTTTATGCAAGAGGTTTCCAGGCTGATCCTGACAGGTGCATCATCTCTTGGTGGGAAATGATTGTTATTCCAAGGAACAGACTATATGAACTTATTGTTCCCCAAAGTAACAAAATCTTTGCCTCCATGTTACAGAATAGAGCATTTGTAGAGTGTAAGCTTCACATTAATATACTGAATTCATGCACAAAGTTTTCTACTTGCTTCTTAAAAACTCTTATCTCTGGAATACAAAAAAAACAAATTATCAATTTGCCTATATAAGAGCTTCTGTCCAGTTGCTCTAAATTACCTGCTCATGATAATGCCTTTAAGTGTTCTAAAAACAAAAATAAATAATTGTTCAGGCTTTCATAGTAAAACATGCTTTAAGTTTAAAACACTGTTTTTTCACTTTTCTTTTGGCAAAGAAGTTTCATTTAGTTCTATTCTTTCCTGCACTGCCTAGCAATTAACTTCTCACATGGTGATTTTTAACAGGATGTTAAAATTTCTTCCTATGCAGTAGGTTTGTAACTCCTGCAAGGAAGTGTGTACTTATACCTGGCATTACAGAAAAGAAATGTGGAAATCAGCTAGAGAGAAAGTCTGGGATCCCAGAGAGAAATATAGGAGAGTAATGCTATCCATAGCTTTATTCATGTATTCATATTTTGTATAAGATATCCTTTCCTGTAGCCTTGGATGTAGTGTAACTTGATCCTAACCCATTTGAAATTATGTCTATTGTAACATTTTTAGGTTGTAAAGCTCACAAACATTCACAGTTTGACCAGTGTTGCCAAGACATAGCAAATGCTAGCTCTAAATTCCTGTCATTTTGTCAATCTCAGTGTTTTTGGCCCCAGCTCAAGCCACTAATTCAAGCCAGCTCCAACACAATACTGGAATTATGTGTTTGAAAGGAAAGCCATACTTGGAGGCAATGGGTGTAATTTAAGTTCATAGAAGAAAAGCATATATTTTGTGTAGTTGTTTGTATAGCCAAATAAACAAGAATTGTACCATGGAGTGGTGGGAGGGGGAACAAAAATGAAACATCTCTGTAAGCCTGTGGATCTATTACTAAAACTTCTCTGTCCTAGTACAGCTAAATAATACTAAAGAAGAAGGGAAGATTTAAAGAGAGGGTCTTGGACTATTCTTGTCATGGAAAAATGTTGAATTTAATTGATAAAGAGCTTTTGTTTATGTAGCAGAAGAATAAAAAACAGAATTAAGTTTTTGCTTTTTTCCATTTTTAAGTTGATTTTTAATCTTTTCTGAATACATTTTTTTCTTGTGTTTCTGTAAAATTTACAGTGCTGACTGATACCCCAGAAGATGAGCAGAACTTGAATGTGAAGATACTGATTTTGCTGAATCTGTTTGAAAAAGATATTCCAGAATCAAAGAAATACCATTGAACATGACATTGGTGGTGAGTTTTAGAGACCACTTTCTTGTAAACGTTTGTAGCTTTAAAATTATTTGTTGAATTTCTACTTTTCTCTGCAAGATTTCCTGTGAAAGTAATTGTTTTACATAGTGTCAAGAAGAAATTCTTTCATATTAACTGAAGGCTTCCACATTTGTTTTCAAAAGTCTGCAGAAACTATTACTGTCATTCCTTAAAATATATTAAAAAAATCCAAAACCAAGCAGCATCCCCAGGTCGTAGGAATTAATTTATAAAACCTAAGAACTTTAAGGACATGTCTGCTTCCTGCAATTCTCTATTTTGTACAACATACTTCATTTTAATAGGAATATATATATATATATATATATATATATATATATATA